CCGCCCTCAGTTTCTGCACAGAAATCCCTGTGCCAGCTCAGGAAAACCAGCAGTAAAGCAGGCTGGGGTTCTGCCTGGGCAAACTTCCCTCCCCTCTCACCCGAGCTAACTTTCAGTCCTGCTATAGGACTTTGCTGCTGTAGTCCTTCTATAGGTTCAGTCCTGCTCTATGGACTTTTCAGTCCAGCTGCACATCTGCTCGAATCCCCTCACAGTAGCTCACTGTGCCAGCCCATGCTTGTCTGCTCCCTCCCTGCTGCGTTTATACAGGAGCAGGGCAGGAGCCGTCAGTCCCCCAAACTGATGCCAGCTCTTCAGTAAGGTTGTGGCTGATGTATTGAAACAACTTGGTTTTTAATGGACAGGAAAGAGGCAGAAAACCAGTGGGGTGTGCGCCATGGATCGCATTATGGCTTGCAGGCTAAATTTTGTAATGACCTTCTCATTAAAATACTATTTTAAGTTTTCCTTCAGAAATGTCTGCATTAATAACAAGTAACTCAACTTAGAGCTGATTTACAGGCCGAATTTAATTTTGAATCGAAGTGACTTAAAAGGTGATTTTAATCACAGTTTGAATCAGCAAAATCCTTGATTTAAATAGCTGATATTAAATTTTATTATAAATATACAGATTTTAAAAACATACAGATTTTTAGTAACTTCCTTGAAGCAAACCAGATTCTAATGGAATAACAACTATTAAAACATGTTAGCTTGCAACTAGCTGAAGCTTTTGTCCAAAACATTATCTAGGTGATGTTTTATTTCACTAACTCTTTATTTAGGTAGCTAGTGTAATATATTCCTATATACTCATGCAAATTCTTGACTTTTATTTTAAGAATGGTGAAGAACATATTCTGACTTGATATAAGTTGCACTTACATAAAGGCATTTAAAATCAATTCAAATATACAAGCTGTCTTTAAGACAAACAGACCTCAAGATGTGCTGGATTGGGAAGAATTCTTAATGCGTGCTTTTGCATTTGAAAGCAGTTTAACTGAACCAAATCCTTTGAGATTTTTGGAGCAGATGATTTCTCCCACTCAAAGCTTATGTTTACTCAGAGTGGTAGAGGAAAACACACTTCACAGCCCATCGGTTTCTGATCTTTGTAGCCACTATTGGTTGTACTGAAGTAATTAAATAGATTGAAAGAAGGAAAAGAACCTTTTTGACAAGGGCATACTTTTGGCACCTGCAAAGTTTTGATGTATTTGCTTGCGAGTGACTTGTGGCAAGCTAATAGCTCAACCCATCTGTAGAATACGCAATATGCGGTTACTGCCACCAAGCTTTTGGAGGTCTATATGGAGGGCTATAAAATACCGAGTGGCATAGAAGAGGTGAATGGAGATTGTTTGCTGTCCTTTCCCATAAGAAACAAGAAGCATCAAGCTCGTGAGAGCTGCTTTCAAAGCAAAAGGTGGCAGTTCTTCATGGAGTGAGTAGCAGAACTGGGGAGCTCTCTGCTGCAGACTCGAGAAGACTCCTTGTCTTTGTAAGGCTGGGCTGACCAGTTTAGCTGTTTTTCTACTATTTCAGTTTCTATTATTTTTAAAACTTTGATGAACAATATTTTGCCTAAATCTTCAAATTTGTATGTACTTAATAAATAAATCTGAAATATGTAATACTTAAGGTTGTGTGTTTTTTTTTTCTTCTTCTTTTTAAGTTTAAACCTGCCCTGATTAAGATTAACGTCTCTGATTTGGCTGCGGAAGAGAAGACTTGGAGAATAAAGTCCTGCAATGTGTTAAACTGTGACATGCCAGGAAATATGGGATATCCTATCACACGTCTCTCGTGCCTGGTGTGGACTGGGGCAGGACCACTGAGGATACAGCTGCATAGCTCTGTCACAGCTGCACAGCTCCCCTGAGGCCAGGCGAGTTCTGCTGGGACGACTTGAAATAAAATGGTGTGAAATAAACCACTGGAAGGACCCTGGAGTGACAAGTGCTTTTTGTACATAGGCTGGTACAGACGGTCAAGTGCTACATCTCTGCTCTGAAGGACTGGGATGCCAACTAGCTCCAGTTCAGCTACCGCTTTGATGCAGCTTCCATTTGGGCACCTCCAGAGTCTGCCCTGTGACCCTGAGACCTCAGCTGGATGCTTTTCTATTCCCTCCTGCCTTATCTCAACACCTCAAGACATCTCTTTCAAAATCATTTGTCATTTGAGCTCTGCTGTGTGACAGTGAGTGTTTGTAGTGCGATTATTTTGGTGGAGAATTACGGATGTGTGATTTTTTTTTTTTTTTTTTTTTTTGGGGTACTACTTCAAATGAGAATGGGATCTTAATAAGCTAAAGTATTTAGAATAAGTTCATAGTTGATATTTTGGTTTTCTTTAAGCTTGTTCTCCAGATGAGGTGCAAAAAGTATCTGCAGATCTCTTTACTCTCCTGTCACTGCCAGTAAAAGAGATTCATCTGTTGAGATGATTACACAGTAAGATACATGTTCAGAAAGCCTTCTCTATAATTTTCACAGATTATTTTTTTTTTTTTCTGCCATTCTTGCCCAAAATGCTGCTTCTATTTGCAGGCATTTGCAGGCATCTGTAAAAGCTTCATGTCGCACTCAGCAAGTCCTTTACTGCCTTGGTGGGTAAGAGCAGAGCCATCTCGGCTGGGCAGGGTTCCCAGCGCTCGGCTGCTTGAGTGGCTGCTGTCTGCAGCTCCTCGGGGACGTCTGGTCACTGACAGACTTAATGTGACTTTTGAGTACCTCCTAGGTGAGAATGGGGAATGTACTGACTGCCCAGCTCCACCGTATTGCCCTGAACAGGGAGCGGTAGGCGTTGAATTCCGGTTGACTCCTTACGGTGGATCTGAGCTGCTGAGGCTTTGTTATTTTTAGATGGAGGGATGCTCTGTAATATTTCAGCACAAGGGATGATTTACTTGTTTCCTTCCACTTCTTGTCCTTAAGTAATTGTTCTTAGTTCTGACTATGTACTTGAGTTTGATTCTTTAAGTAATATATTCTTTTATAAAAGAAGCAGCTGGCTAGGTTCTTGAGGGTAATAAAATGGACAACAATGTCAAGTGGCCTGCTTTTACGTTGACTACTAGATGTAGGGTGGGTATGAAGAAAAAAAGGCCAAGGAGCTAGTTCAGAAAAATGAAATATTTAAAAAAAAAAAATCACTGCTGAAAATATTAATCGTGGAATAGTGCAAGTTGATTTAAAATTAGATAATACAAATATTGCATGAGAGAAATAACACAAGTAGCATAACTTAAATGACAGAAGATGAACCCTTTTATCTTAAAACTCAGAAGGAACCTATAATATAAATGCGGCTTGTTAGCCAGCCTACTGAGGATTGCTTAATTTGCTTCCCAATCCCTGGAGAGATGAGATACATAAAGTTAAGTAACCACAGGGTAATAGTAGACTAAGTGAACGTGATCTTTATCTGTGATCAGTTTTAGCTGCAGAGGTGAAAAGCGTATGCTTTTTTGTATCTCCCTGCCTGTAACCACTTTTAGGTTTTTTTCTTTTCAGCCCCACTCAGTCTATCACCCTGGCACTCGTGACAGCCTGAGGCTCACAAGGAGCTTTAAAAAAAGCTATTAGCGTTGCAGCCTCTCCTGCAGCTTTGTATCCCGAAACTTCCTCCTCTCTGTCCTTAGAGTCAGGCACAGGTTTGCCGCTCCATATAATATCTAACGTGATTAGGATCTTTCGCCATGGTTGAGCTCCTAGGTTTTGCTAAAACTGTACAATATCTATTAATGAAGTCAATGTTAAAACCCTTATTCAGATACTGATAGTGAATGTGAGGGCTAGTGATGATCAAACTCTCCCTGCTAGGCTGTGAGACCCTGCACGGGGTCTGGTCACCACGAGTAATTGCTGTCAGATCTGCCTGTGTAAATTAGTTCGAGTTCAGTTTGGTTCATAATAAAGGCAGTAAAATTGCCAAGGCAGCTGACATTGACCTCACCGGAGTAGCTGAAGTGTGATGTAATCTGGCACACAGACTCCCCCTTCCATCATGTTTAATAGCCCCATGTCCAAAATAGTGCTGAGTGGGTATAAGAAAAAAACCCCAGCACTACTGCTGTTGCTGGGACTTGCTTTATCCTGTGGTTGGGTCGGGAACTGTGTTTTGGTTTTGAAGATAATTGGGCTGTGTGGTGCTCCCAGGCTCTGGGTTGACAGCCCAATAAAATAATCCCTGGCTTTAGAGCAGATATGTAGAATATATTTTCCCTTTTCAGCACATTTACTTAAATCCTGTAGCAGTAAATAACAGGCATGCTCTCAGAATATATATGCCTGTAGCATCTTATATACATACATTTTTACATTCATTACTATATATAGTTAAAAACCCAAAAAATACTTTTCCAGCAATGGGCCTTTTATTGCTTAGTCAGTAAAATGGAAGAGTTATGATTTATGCTTCCCTGTCCTGACTGGATACATTGAGAAATGGAAATAATGATGGGGCTGTGGCTCAAATATGGGATTTCACAGCAAGAATGGCTTGGCTGTTGCTCAGATTTTCTTTGTGACCTCCAAAAAGTCACTTTTAACCTCCTAAGTTCCACTTTGTTGCCTGTACAGTATGACTGCTAGTGCAAAGGGACTGTGCTGGGGTTTTGTAAGCAGGTAAGTCTTTTAAAAATTCCTGATTCATCCAAGCATCATGCACTGCATCCTCCAGTGGACAGAATACCTTCTTCTGCATTAATGCTGTACAATATGAATTTTTACTTAAGGCCTCCACATATATACCCTCTCATGTCCCTGTCCCATCCCCTTCTCCCCAAAAAAAGCTGTTAGGTATGGTGGTTGAAGCAAGGACTGATAGTTGATTTTTTTAATCCTTCTTTCTTTTTTCCTTTCCACGCTTCCTAGGATGCAGGGGCTTTAATCCAGGATGAACGAATGCTACTATGATAAGCGCATGGACTTTTTCTATAACAAGACAAACACTGACACAGTAGATGAGTGGACAGGGCCAAAGCTTATTGTTGTTCTGTGTTTTGGGACATTTTTCTGCCTCTTCATTTTCATTTCAAATTCGTTGGTCATAGCAGCTGTGGTCAAAAACAAGAGGTTTCATTTTCCCTTTTACTATCTCCTGGCCAACTTAGCTGCTGCAGACTTTTTTGCTGGAATTGCCTATGTCTTCTTGATGTTCAACACTGGCCCAGTGTCTAAGACATTAACTGTTAACCGCTGGTTTTTGCGTCAGGGTCTTCTGGACACCAGCCTGACAGCTTCCCTGGTGAATCTCCTCGTCATAGCTGTTGAGCGGCACATGTCTATAATGCGGATGAAGATCCACAGTAATCTCACGAAGAAGAGAGTCACCTTTTTAATTATATCAATTTGGGCCATTGCTATTTTTATGGGTGCTGTTCCTACCTTGGGTTGGAACTGCCTCTGTGACATTACCGCCTGCTCATCCCTGGCGCCTATCTACAGCAGAAGTTACCTGGTGTTCTGGAGTGTCTTAAACCTAGTCGTCTTCTTCATTATGGTGGTGGTTTACATAAGAATCTACATGTACGTCCAGAGGAAAACTAATGTCTTGTCGTCGCACACTAGTGGATCCATTAGCCGTAGGAGAACCCCTGTGAAGCTTATGAAGACTGTCATGACTCTCTTAGGTAAGAGACTGCAAACCATGGCGTGCAAGGCTGGCAGTGCCAATGAATGGGTTTGGTTTTGCTTGGTTTTTTTTTTTTTTTAAACAAAACAAAAAAACCCCAACCCCCTAAACCAAACCAAACCAAAAAAACTCTCGCCGAACTTTTACATGCTGGAGGCATTTAGATTTCTGTCTGCTTTAGATAGTGAAATAAGTGTTGCACCACACAGAAATGCAAAGTAGAGGACTGGTCAACACGTAGAAGAAAAGTATCTCTATTTCATAGGCAACTTGTTACGAAACACAAATTATCTACAGGTTTTTTGGGGGGGTGGAGAGGGATTACGAAATCGCTTTGGAGGAAGGCTTGTGAACTACCTAGTAGAACATTTTCAAAATAATGTTCTTTAATATCCGCACAAGGCCACGAATCCTGTGGCTGGATGTGGATAGTTTTCTTTGCACTTCTTCCTCTTGGCTGTTTCCCAAACATACTAACTTCTTCCCCCTGGAAACGCACCTTCCCTGGGGAAAGGAGGGGATGCCTGGTGGGTCTGTGACTTTGACAGAGATTTGCTTTGCAAGGGGAGAATTCACCTTCATTCTGTGAAGATTGCATAGTGCAAAATACTTTCAGATGATGATACAGTATGGCCTTGGATCTTTAGATCGTAACATGAGATTTGACCTGGATCCTGCCCTAGAGACACTGTTGATGTTTGGGCAGCTCCGATCACTTCATCAGCTAGTTGTGATGTAGCTGCTTATTGAATTAGAGATGCACAAAGCGAATGATTGATTGTTGGAACAAAATACTAGCTGTAGCAGTCAATTTTCCTCAGGAAGACTTGAATCTGAGTGAGATGTTTTCTGGAAGCCAGGCATCACACGAGCGTGGCTCCTGCAGCTCGCTGCGGGTGGAACTGGGGGGACACTGGGACACTTGTGAAGCTGGACTTAGGTGGTGGGGGACTCTAAAACCCCAAATATGGTTTCACCACTCTGACAACTGGTCTGATGTTGTATGAGCCAGCACAAGAAAGCTGGAGCTTTTGGGAAAGCTGGTGTCCATGTATACCTGGGACCCAGTTGTGTCGTTCTGCAGCATGGTAGTACTAGAGAGCTCTGGGAGAGCAGTGTCACTTTTCATGGAGGTAGGAGTTGCCAGGGTAGGAGGTTCAGGCTGAGGACACTTTCTTCCCCTTGCAGTCTACGGATGCTGTTTGCACAGTCTGGTATCTGGTTCTCTTTTTTTTTTTTTTTTCCCCTGAAACGATAGTGCTGTAGTACACAACACCTTTGTCTACCAAATGATGTTTTAAAATGCTTTAGAAGCTGAGATCAGTTAAACTTTATAGTGCCTGACCTTGGAAAAGAAAGTCAACTGATGGTTCAAGCAAGTATAAGATTCTCTCTTATACCCCTGTGTCTTCTGAAGTTGGCTTGTCCACTGCCAGAGCCTTTCCCTTCTAAATCCCTCCCCAGTTGTCCTTCCTTTTTTCCCCTTAATTTTATGGCACCTATAGAGAGACAATGTGGTGGTTGTTCCTGTCCCCCACTGGACTTGCAAGGGCAAGATTCGATCTTTTGCCCCGCCTGAAGCTCTCGTGCAGTGAAACTTAAACCATCCACCTGGAAGGAGAAAATCCCTGCAGAAGAACTCTGAATTGCTCCAGATATGATCCTGCCCTAGTGCCTAAGCATGGGGTAGACTGTAGTTAACTGCTACATTGGAAAGAGACAAAAAGAAAAGCACTTTTAAAAAGCAGTTCTTTGAGCATTTCTATTGAAGGCAGAACTGCAGGCTGCTTTCTGGGAAGTCACATAAAAATAAATCATCACGCATAGGCTTGTCTAATCTATATGTATATTTATATAGTTAATATTACTTTGGTTTTGTATAAGCCAAAGTTGGAGGGTGCTGAGTGAGTGTTGGAATAACAGTTAGCTCTCGGTGCCACCCGTGCGTGTTTGCGGGTCGGAGCAGAGAGGTGGTCTGCGCGCCGGGGGGACTTGGAAGGACAGTGATGGTGGCTGCTGTTTGCTAACCCCTCATGGTCCTTTAGTCTCTGGCAGGTCTTTGGTGCTCACCGTGGCCGTGCTGCTGTGTGGAAATAAATGCCACTTTAAAATTCATTTTCAACTTATTCTTTCTTTTACTAGGGAGAGAGACCTTAGACTGTGCGTTGATTTAAAGATCAACATTAGCTTTTTCTTACTCGCAGAATATGGCTTTTCAGCCACCAGATTAAACTATAATTCGGGCAAAGCATTCAATGATATTGTATGCTGGGCCAGGCAAATTTAACTTAGAAAGCCTGAGTGCTACTTTAGAGATCATAATTTTGTGTATTTACTTTGTCAGTCAGAAACAAAACCAAAACAGAGCCTGCTTCTAAAGAAGTTGAATTAGTGCACGTGTTGCTGGGTGCCAGATCTGCCCCAAACTCCTGTGTCGGAGGAAGTGTATCTTGGCATGTTCCTTCATATCAATTCTCCAAATTTTGACTCTGAGAGGCTTTTTATAAACGTTTATTTCTAGGAATGAGAATTTGTTTTTTTAAAACAGTTTGAAATGTGCATTCCTGGCCAAGTCATTCAAGCACACTGTGAAAAATGTATTAGAAACTGAATAGCACATTTTGTGGGCTTTCCAATTACCAAAGGAGTCACCAAGTGACCAACGTGATTCTTCCAAAATTCTGCTTACATCCACTGATGCAACAACCTACAGCTATACGCAGCACATGGATTTTGCCCAAGGCAGTTATTTTTAATGGCTTGTTCCAAAACATCTGAAAATACTTTGGAGTACACGCCTGATACGGTCTTAACTAGAAGCAATTCCAAGATGCTCTGTTGCTGGATGAAGCATGATGAGAACCAGAGTTCTCGTTAATGTGCTCTGTTGGTTTCATGGGAGGTTCAGGACAAAATCCTGCTGCCCCACGGCTGTGTGGAAGGAGGCTGCGCGTAGCTGGCTGCTGCTGGCACGCTGCTTCTCCCGACTGCCTCCACCTCCCTTCTTGGGGAGGCTGGGCCTGTGGCTGGCTGCCCCTCCAGCAAAACATCCCTCTCCGCTCTGGGTGTTCTCCTCCTGTGGTCCTACAGTTAAGAGTTGGGGGAATCTGGGTTTCAGTGTGAGTTCGTGGTGATCACAGCTGCGGGTGCACCACGCTTTGGGCTTGGATGGCCCCTTCCAGAAGCTGGGACTCAGGTCCCTGTCATCTACCTTTTTCTACCATAACCCCTAAAATGGTCCATCACAGGATAGGAGCAAGGCTTTCCCTTTGGCATGCTAAACCGTAGGAATTTATCTGGTTGAAACTGGAAGATGTGAAGCCTAGTGAAAGGGGCTAAAATCCTCTTAGGCTGACCTTGTGGCATAGTCCTAGTCCTAGCTAAGCCTGTGCCTGTAGCTTTGAAGAAGGGTGGCTGCAGGTGTGCGGGTATGAGATTTTCAGGTGG